TTTAAAAATTTATTTTATTAAATATTGATATTTAGATTTAAAAATCGATTATATTTTAATATATTCACTTCTTTAATCTAAATATCAATATTTAATAGAGTAAGATTTTAGCTGGTTTTCAAATATAAGTTAAAATTTTAATTTTTTTAAAATCAAGATTGATACACACTATTTTATATATTTATTTTACGTTAATAAGACACGAAGGTATAAATTTTATTTTTTTTCTTTATCGCGGTGACTTACCTTTTCAGCAGGATTGAAAAATATTTAACTGAAAATCTAAAAGATCTCTTCTTAGTTCTTTCCCCTCTAATTTGCTAAACAATCTCAAACAAATTCTCTTCACTGCAAAGTGCATACGTACGTGGAATTGAAAGAAGAAAATGGAGAAAACGTCCCTCAAACTGACATTCCTGGTTCTCTTGATCCTTTTTTCTAGTTAGTCTCTCTCCCTTTATTTAATTTACCTTAATTTGTATACATTTTTTCTTCCAAACATGAATTTCTTCTGTTTGATACATGCACGCGTGGAACTTGATTTACTTTGTGCTAGGGTGAAATGAAATAATACTGAGTTTTCGTACTTCAACAGGTGGGTCATTTTCGACCGTGCTGGGAGTGGAAGGAAAAGTGTGTCGTAGTTTACAGGACTGCCCGATTTGCGAAAGGGGACAGAGGATCTGTGATTTGGGGTTCTGTGGCTGTTTGGGAGGTGGCGTTGGGCCTCCTCCTCTTCGTTTTTGAATATTTTTCATCGTGATGGCAATCATGTATTGAATCTTATGCAAAAACAAAATGTAATAAAGTCCCTCATGAGTTGATTAATAATTTGAAATTTTAAGTTAAAGAATATCAGTTTATTTTTTTTAAATATTGTAGAAATTTTAACCCTTAATCTTAATCTCAAATCTAAACTTTTTAAAGAAATGAAAATCAATTCAATTAAATTTTTATTAGTATAACTCATCAGTTAATATACTAATAAAAAATAAAACACAATAAAGTTACTAGAAGGAAGGATTCTTGTATATATTTATCTAATTAAAATATTACATAGGGAAGAAATCATGCATGAAAGTTTTCCTCTTCTTCTGTATATATATATATATATATATATATATGTATTAATTTATAGGATATAACAGAATATAACAATGTATTTTCACCTTTAAAGGTAAAAAAATTGACCATAAATCCTCGATGCTGTGGATTGGTATGAAAATTGTAAGTAAAGCAGTGATTTGCCTACGTTGAATTTTAAAACATAAATAAGAAGATATTTGTGTACTCGAGACAATGTTAAGTTCTCCTCTTCATAAAAGACTTCATCAATTCTACTAGCTTGACAGCTTTATCAAATAACTTTTATTCTCACGATTAATTGTTTACAATGTTTGATAATGAGATCACAAGTAAATTATCATGTAAGTTTTGTTTATTGATCCTTTATTAATCTTTGGTATACACGCAAATTGTTGTTATTTTCATTTTTTTAAAATGAGTGCAACTTTGAGAGAAGGCAAAATGATCCAATCCATGACGCCCGAAAAGTTGCACAACTAATTCAAACGAGACAAAAGTGCACAATTTGCCTTTTAGTTAGATCCAAGATAATATCTAATTTGAAGTAAATGTATAGTATATTAGATTAAAGCGGAATGAAAGGGAGGAGAGAGAAGGGAGTAGTCTTAAATTAATTAAATTATAATATTTTTAAATATTATAATTTGATTAATAAAATTTTTTTTTTCCTTTTTCCCTTTGTTTCTTTTAATCAAAACACACTATTAAGATATCAATAAAAAAAAACAACACACATGCAAAAACATAAGAAAAAACTATCATTTCTTTTTCTTCTCTTTTACTTTCCAATTTTCCCATGGTAAAACTTATCCCTGCATAATTAGCGCACAAACATTATGCTTTACTCCCTTTTTCATGTAGAGCACAAGTATGATACATGCTTTATTATTATTATTATTATTATTATTATTATTTTATTAGATGATAAACTGTATAATAAGATAATATTTACTTTTTTTCTAAATCCCTCTCCATTGTAATTATGTAAGGAAAATTGTATTTACCCATGTGATATCGATTCTTATTCTTTTACTTTTAACATTTTGGTTAAAAATTTTGTTTGC